CGTCCAGCCAAGGTTAAGGGTAAGCGGCGTCTCCTCAGGCTGGCTAATTATTACTGCACAGGTTTAAGGGGAATGTCAGGCAAGTAATGTTCTTACTGAAAATGAGAACGGGAACCATAGGCACTGAGCATGCCCCCACGAGCCGTGTGGGGTCAGTTCTAACGGCGCATCCACCGACGACAATTGTTCTGCTGGCCTGTGCCAAGCAGCGCTTGCATCCGTGGGGGCTCTGGGCACCGAGGCGGGTGTTTCTGGGCCACCCACCCCAGGCCTTGTCTTTCCAGCTGACACGGCCTGTGTCAGCTCATTCCGGCTTTGGAAAAATGCATTCCGGGGCCAATAAAGGCTGGACAGTCACACTCTTTTGTCACCCTGTTATTATAACCCAAATGGCTTTGCGGGGCCCTAGCGTGGCCAGGCGAGGTCCCGGCCAGCTCAGCAACGGCCCGAATGTCACAGAAGCTGGGTGTCCAATTGGAAAGACGAGGCCTGCGGTTGATCTGTGGTTCCCACCCGATTCAGGTTCTGCGATGCCAAGGCAGTGAGTGAGGCGCAGTAGCAGAACATGGGGCCCGCGATTTTACTGAAAGGCACCCGTGTTTGAAATTCTGCAAGGTAGCTTTCCTCTCCCCCGCTGGGAACCTGGGCCAGTCACGTCACCGCCCCGAGCCTCAGTTTCCCGTTTGTGAAATGACGACCTGAGACCAGCTGCACAGTGTTGTCGTGGGAACGGCCGCCGGGTGGAAGTGCCTGGGATGCCCTCCCCACAGGGCAGCGAGCCTGGGAAGCAGGAAGGCCCTGGGTGTGGCCAAGCCAGGAATCGCTGAGAACTGGCTCCAGGAAACTGGCAGAACCAAACCCAAGCTGGGCTCCCCAGTGCTAATTGGACATTAATCAGCAGAAACAAGAACCAGCCAGAAAAATGAGGAGCATGAGCGCATGGAACCTTCCCACCCCGAGCTTTGCTCACTCTGGGATGGCAACTGGTCCTCCCCAGGCCGGGCCCCAGCTGCCTCGAGGGAGGACAGCGGCGTGGGGGGCACAGGGACAGAGGGAGTGGTGCCTCATTTCAGAGCTTCTGTCTTTATCTCCACCACCAGTTCTCAGGAACGCTGCCTTAGGTTACCAGAGAGGGCAGCTGGGGCCGTCCACCGGAGGCCTGGGGAGACGTGTCGATGTCCCCCAAAGGACAGGAGAGGTACAGGGAGCGGCCGGACCTCACCTGGGGCCCCAGCTCTTCTGTGACGGAGCTGCAGGCAGGGGCCAGACTAGAAGAGTCCTCTGGGCTCTGCACACCCCTTCCAGGTAAGGAAACTGAGGTCCAGGGAGAGCCAGGGAGGGGCAGAGCCAGGCAGAGGGTCAAAGCCAGGCTGGGAGCTGAGCTCAGAGCTCTTCCTACTGACCCGTCCACCTGGAACTCCCTTTAGAAGTGGGGTGGGCACCAGAGGCGGGCAGGAGAGGTGGGGGCCAGGTCGGAACAGAGAGGGCAGGGTGAGTCAAGGAGGCAGATTTCTAAAATTCTGAACGAGGTCACAGAAAAAGCCTTTCCCCACCACGACGACACCCACATGGGAACAAGGGTCCTCCCCCAGCCTCACCCCAGATTGTATTCAGATCACGTGTCCCCACCCAAAAGGAAGGACCAACACTACTTCCCCATGTGCTTTGTGGAAGACGTTCGAATCCTGGTCCTGCTGCTTCCTCTCTGTGTGTCCTTGGCCAAGTCACTTCCCCTCTCTGAGCTCCAGTATGTCCACCTGGGAATGGAGGCTCTTGTAAGCCACCCAGCCGCAGGCAAACGGGAGCTCTGACCCCGGGCTTTTATTTCTGTGTAAAGCAGATGGAGGCAGCGAATTCCCCGTGGCTAGCAGGTGTCTCTGCTCCTTACAGAAGGGCTGAGAAACACGCCGAGCACCCCCTGCAGAGCCGGGACCGCCCCCCCCCCTTTCTGCTTGAACAGCCGCCCTGTCACCTGTCCGGGGAGTGATGAACTCTCTGCGGCTGCAATCTGCTGTAAGTTGCATTCCAGGCCGACTCTCCATTCATTAGCATGTGATCTTGTTTATCCTGCCCCGGCCTGGAATTTGGACTCTTACAAAACCCCAGCTACAAAAGAACAGGTTGGACCAAGACTGCTGAGCGAGTGCAGGAAGTGTCCTGCAGGCTGAGTGTTTATTACACAGACCCAGGCTGGGTCCACCCAGCAGGTCTGAGCCGAAGCCCCGCTGACCTTCCTGCTGACGCTGATGTGAGAGTCTGAGGTCTGATCTGACCCCACAGCGGACAGCTCCCAGATTCAGATCATCGTCTGGCCCCACCCCAAAGTCAGGTCTTCCCTCCCGATGACGGCAGCGTCGCCTCTAATTATCTGCTGGTCCCCTTCAGTGGGGCGGGGACGGTCATCCTCACCATCGCTCTAGGAAGGCTTTACAGTGCGGAGTGGGGGCGGGGCCTCTGATCCACTGAGTCACCCGGCCAAGGTCTCGGAGCCAGGAGGGTGGAGCAGCCAGGGCGGCTGCTGGCACACTTTGCCGTCTCTTCCTTTCTTAGGGTAACAAACCCAGATGCCGGTCCACCTGGGCTGGGCACAGGCCCAGGCCAGGCCAGTCACATGACCACATCCTCCTGGCAAAATGAGAGAGGAGCCTGCGACCAAGCAGGGCCAACCTGACACTGTTTTAAGCACTTTGCACCTATAAACACACACGCATCTGAATAACCCAATACGTAATCTAGGTTACACATGATCTAGACCCCATTTGACAGACGAACAAACTGAGGCACAGCAAACAAGTAAGTTGTTCCAGGTCACGCAGTGGAAGGGCTGGGATTCAAACCAAACAGTCTGGCTCGAACCAAAACCCACACTCTCAAACCGCTAGGCTAGCCCGAACCTGAGTACACTGGGTGTGAACTTGGGCTACAGGAGAGTCGGCTGTCTTCTTCTCTTTTTTCTGTGAGACCTGCCAGGCCCTCCTTCACTGGGCCTCTAGGTGCCATTTTAAACAACCCAACCCGGCCACTCTGCCTCTCAGAGCTGCTGAATCACTCTGTCTCTGACGGAATCAAGTCAACGTACTTGTCTTACTATTGGGTCTGCTCTGCCTCCCCTCCATGCTCAACCACACACACACACACACACACACACACACACACCAGCCTTGCAGACAGACCAAACCACCTATAGTTTCTGCAGAATGTTGGCTTTCTTTCTAGGGCAGCACTGGTGATGCATATAACAGAAGCCACATATGTAATTGAAATTTTCCCCATAGCCACATTTAAAAAGTCAAAAGAGCCCAGCCGTCATGGCTCAGTGATTACACGTCAACCTATGAACCAGGAGGTCATGGCTTGATTCCTAGTCAGGGCACATGCCTGGGTTGCGAGCTTGACCCCCAGGTGTGGGGCGTGCAGGAGGCAGCCGATCAATGGTTCTCTCTCATCACTGATGTTTCTCTCTCTCCCCCTCTTCCCTTCCTCTCTGAAATCAATAAAAATATATTAAAAACTAAAAAGGCAAAAGAAAGTAGTGGAAATACTTTTAGTAACCTCTTTAATATATTCAAAATATTCACATTTAAGCTATAATCAATATAAAACATGCTATGAATGAGTTTCCGAATTTGCGCTCATTTCCGAAATCTGGCATGGAACGTACACTACGGCACAGGTCTCGGCTGGTGCTAGGCACATGATTCTACCGAACCGGACAGTGTGGCTTCAGAGTGAGCCCCCCAGACGCCTCAAAGACGCGGGGCAGGTAGGCGATGGTCGTGCCTGTGTGGTGCCCTGGGGCAAAGAGTTGAGTGATGGGGGCTGAAGGCAAGGGGGCCACGTCCACATTGCCGTCACCCCGCCAAACCCCACGAGGGCTGGACCATATGCATATTAGGAAAGGCATCTTGTCTGGGGATTTCAGCCCCATTTGCCCTGGAAGTTGGAGTTGGATGCCCTTGTCCTGTGCACAGCCTGTATCCTTGTCCCTGCGGAGGACAGATTTCTGGGCACAGGTATGAGGGCACAGGTAAATCCAGCCACGTTTCCACCTTGCCCTCCTTTTGGGACCCTCTCTGACCTGAAGGAACCAGACGCACGTCTGTCTGGCCTCCGTCCCACCACCATGTTGTTCAAAGAGCCATCAGGGCAAGAAAGAGTGCCTCCCCCACAACACCCCCCCGCTTCCACGCCCTCCAGCTCAGGGCCTCCTGGAAGCCTAATCCACCTCTGTCCTGGGGTGGCCTTCACCCTGCCCTGCCCTCAGGTCACGGTAGACAGGCAACAGCCTGACAACCACTCCCCAACAACCGCCATCACTAACGGAGGAGCCCAGATATTGTCCTGTGTTGCTTTCCCAACCCTTTGAAGGGCTCAGCAGAACAAAGGGTCCCTGTTTACTAGTCACCACCCTCCCGAAAAGGCAGTCAGGGCTGGAAGCTGACAAA